GTGCGGCTTGTGCCCGCCCCGGCCCGGAGACGGTTGCAGTGCCAGACACAGGCTGGTCACTGCTCGATGCCGGGGGTGGGTGGGCCTGGGGGAAAGGCAGCAGCGGAGAGGAACAAGCTACAGGGGATTTATATGATATTACATTATATTATATCATATATTACTGAACGATATAGCTGCAGCGATTGTTCACGCTGATATCTCTCACTGTCCTGAGTATAACCAGCGAGCTTTTGCCTGTTACCCAAATGCATCTAGATCTGGGCAGCTTCATGCCCGCACCTAGACCACACAGACCCAGCTGAGCACAAAACACTGGTGCAAAGGCACTCCGTGAAGCGGCAGCAGCAGGTTTTTGAAGGCCAGGATGGGGGTCTGCTGGCTGCTGATTTCAGGGCTCTGTCCCAACATCCCTTTGCACCAGAGCTGCCAGCTCGTGTCCCAGCCCTCGCTCCAGGGCTGCCTGGCCCCGACGAAGAGGGAGCTGCCTTTGCTGCCTGAAGGCAGGCGGGTGTTGGTGGTGCAGGTTGCCCAGCCTGTGTGCGCTGACCGGCAGCGTCACAGCTTTGCACAGCCCTCGTGCCATCCCGGGGGGCACACGGCCTCCTGCGGACTCGCCAGCGGCATCTCGCCAGGACACAGCAAAGCCCAACGCAGCAGGGACGCGGAGCAGGCTCCGTGGGCTTCCTGGCTTCTCTGGCTCTCCCATTTTCCGGAGCGCGGTGCAGAGACCAGACTCTGTTGCCGCACCCTTTTCTACTCCTACGCTCTCAAATTGCCTGCAGTGAGCTTTATTCTCCTGTTCCAGGGTTCAGTTTGTTATCTCCAGTCTTACCGCTAACAACAGTATTTTTTTACACTGTTCCATAACTGCCTGTAACATGTATGAGGACAATAAAAATCTTTGCTATCTATAGGGAGCTTACTACATCTAATAAGACACAGAGACGTCCTTAATGCGGTTCTGTCCTAACACCAGCTGCCATTTGCCCTTCCCTTTTCCCCTCTTGGACTCTTTTTGTGCCCCTCTCTTATTTGACGGACAGACTTTCTCAAACAACTCCTCTCTGGCAGCTCGCTCTCACCCTTATGTCGTGCACTACTGGACACCGAGCATTCTTCACTGGTGTGTGCTGTGCTGTGTTCCTTTCCAGTTTGGTAAAGCGAGTTCATGTGCTGCAGCTGCAGAACAAAGCTTTGCCCGTGGGACCGGTGTTTTTCTGGGAAAGGGGACTGGCGATTATCCTGCCTCATGGACACAGGGTGTCCCCGGCCCACTCGTACAATCTCTCAGTATGATGGGAAACAGCTGCTTTGGGCATCCCTGACGACGTAAGTAAAATCTTGGAGACCCCGTGTTTCAAAAAATGGCTTTCATTCCGAAGCAAGCTGTGCTGTGCTGCTGCAGCCTGGGGGACTCGGTGCTCACCTGCACAGCACGTACATTTCTTATATTGGAAAACTTAAAAGAGAGCCAGTTTGCTCTGGAGTGCTGGAGGAAGAGTGGGAACGCACGGAGCCTCCCAGCCACAAGCACGTAGATGCTTTTCTGAGCGCAGCTTCTGTTCTGTTTCACTCTGACCATCAGGCACCAGCTGGGATCCAAACCTGAGCTCCCACGGGAACAGCAAAAGGTCTTTCGCTGACTTCCGAGCGCTGGGTCGCAGTCTGACACAAAGGATCACCCAAACGTACCTGCTCTGAGGGCTGAGGAGCACCGTGACAGCTGGGGGTTGCAGGATTTATCATTTTTATCTGTCCTAGCACAACAGCTGCCACGTTTTTAAGGCAAAGGGCATTGCGTACGTTCTTCATGTACGGAAACGGGTCGGTGGGGAGCAGGGTGTGACCACGGCCCCATGGAAGTCAGCAGCTAAACTCTCGCTGGCTTCCACACTACCCAAACTTTTCACAGCATCACAGAATCATAGTAGTTGGAAGGGACCTCTGTGGATCATCTAGCCCAACCCCCCTGCCGAAGCAGGGTCACCTACAGCAGGCTGCACAGGACCCCATCCAGGTGTGTTTTGAAGATCTCCATAGAAGGAGACTCCACAACCTCTCTGGGCAACCTGTTCCTGTGCTCCGATACTCTCAGAGTGAAGTTATTCCTTCTTTTCCCAGAGACCCTGTCAGTGAGACGGAAGAGCAGCAGAGGAGCTGCCTGGCTTTCGGCCCGGCTTTGTTTTCAGCACTGAGCAGCACAGCGGCTGTCGAGGTTGGGGGAATGAGGTCTGCCTGCCAGGCACGTGTGCAGGAGGAGGCTAGCGGGAGGTGTTCAAGGTGAAGGGGACACTGGCCGAACGGTGGAGAGCTCAGGGCTGGAGAGGCTGCCCCGAGCAGGTCAGAACGGAGGCAGGAGAGCATTTCCACAGAGAGGAGGGGGGTTAACTGATCGTTACGGACATGCTGGCACTGCAGCAGCACCAAACGATCAGAGCAGATGGAGACAAGGTAGGAAATTTAGAGAGGCAGTTTTCCCAGCACAGGTCTCCCCAGAGCCACGCTGGGCTCCTCGTTCTTGGCCCTGCAGCCACAGAGTGCTGTGATTTACAGGCACGGGGACACCTCTTGAGGGTGGAGCCGGGTGTTTCAGAGCAGCAGCGATGCCCTAGCTACAGCTACGCTTCCCTGACTGTCCTGAGGACGCGAGGAAGTGTGACTCTCTGTGGGTGGAGCGCGTGTAACCCGGCTGCTCCGATCCATGTTTTGTGCACCACCAGAAGATGGGACCCACGGTCGACATGCAGTGGCCCAGCGCCACGAGCCGAAGTTTTGGGAAAGAGAACAGAGCCCTCTCCGTTCCACACAGATCTGCAGGAGCAGGGAGGAGAGAGGTCCTGTTCACACAATCCTCACCTGGAAAACGAACGTTGCTCTCCGTCATCCAGGTGATGAAGTCCAAAAAGGAACAGTTGCAGTGCCACAGGTTGTCGCTGAGCCCCAGAAACCTCAGGTTGGGCAGGTCCTGGACAGTGCTGGTGTCCAGGAACGTTAAGCCTGTCCTGCTCACATCCAGGTGCCTCAGCCAGGTGTTGTTGGCGAAAGCATCCTTCTCGATGGCCACCAGGTTGGGATTGTCCGCGATCTTCAGCACCACTAGGCTGAGGAGGTGTGAGAAGGTGCTGAAGGTGACCTGTGTGAGGTTGTTGAAGCTGAGGTCCAGATACACAAGCTTGGCCAGACCAATGAAAGTGAAATCCAGGTCATCCCCCAAGAGGTTCTTCCTGCAGTCCAGGTAGACCAAGTCAGCCAAGAAGCTCAATTCCACTGCCGGCAGGTACGAGACGTTGTTTGCCGCCAGGATCAGCTGCCTGGTGTCCAGCGGGATGGCCGCAGGGAACTCCTGCAACTGCTGTCCTGTGCAGTTCACTCCCAGGTACCGACAGCTACACCTGCTCGGGCAGTCGATCCTCTCCGACGCCACCCCCATCCCCAAAAGAATCACGAGGCTCAGGGGCCACGGCGCGCCCAAAGGAGACATGGTCGAACACCTTCCCTTCGGGGATGGCGAGGAGCCCTACGGACGCTGCGTCACTATCACAGCCGTGCCGAGGAGGTGTCCAGCTGCGGGGCTGCGGGGAAGCGCTTTGCGCCCGTGGCTCGGCTGACTCCTTGGCAGAGCGCCCGGCTGGAAACCGAGAACGGTTTCTACATCACCAAGTGCGGAACGGTGGCTGGAGCGTTTCCATGTCGCGCGCGGTGCCAGGTGACACCTCGGTGATGGCAACGGCCTGTAAAAGCCGCCCGGCTTTGGGGACGGTGCTGTGGCCTCGCTGGCCTCGCGGGTGCTGCTTTCGGCTGAGTGGAGGTGCGGGGAGGCGTGCGTTGGGCAAGAGCATCAAAGCTGTGCAGGGCGGGTGTGAACACTGCGACTTTTGTCACAAACGGTGTCACAATGCAAGAGGTGGTCACTTGTACTGATTTAAGCAAGAAAGCCCTGTGCATTGCGCTGGGTTGGTGGACAGGAGGCAGGAGAAGGCAGCGAAGGAGGCTCTTCCAGGGGCATTTTTGGCATTTTTACCCAGGACAGGCTTTCCAAAGCTGCCTCGGCTCCCTCGGCTGACTTGCCATGGTGCTCCTCCGCCTGGCCACCCCGCTGCAGAGGGACCTGCCCTGGCAGAGGGCCGCTGGCCGTGGGTGACCGTGAGGCACCAGGTTTAGTCTATTGAACTCAGCGTTATACAAGGGTGCACAGAAGTTCAGTCCTGCCTAATTATTTAGCTAGAATGTGCAGTCTAGGATTAACAGAAGGCCAAGATGCTGACAAGAGTGGCTGATACTGGACCATCTAATTAGGAACTACTGTCCTTGGGAATGAAGTATATCTTGGAAGAATATGTAAGCTAACTAAGCTGGTTTTGAACAGTTTGGAACCAACAGCAGAAGAACAAGATTGCCCTTAAATGAACTATCGTCATTATAATACTAAAAATCACACACCCTGAGCTGGAGACCCCGGCCCAAGCAGAGACCCTCATTTACTGAGCACGCATAGTTAATTTTAAGAGCATTGTATCTATAAACTGAAGTAAAACGAGAACTAACCAGTCACGGTTAGGAGGGCGAGGCCAACAGGCCGGACAGACTAGCATCGGATATATTATTGCTACATGAACCCAGCATACGCGGATATTTAAATTATAAAGCTTGCTGTGTTCATATTCCAGACATTGCCAAACATTTAGAGGATCAGCTCGATAAAATAAAGCAGGTAGCAAAGTCGAGTAGTGACCTTAAGGCTACTGTGGAAATCACAGAATCACAGAATGTTCGGGGTTGGCAGGGACCTCTGTGGGTCACCCAGCCCAACCCCCTAAAGCAGGATCACGTGGAGCAGGTTGCACAGGACCGTGTCCAGGCGGGTCTTGAATATCTCCAGAGAAGGAGACTCCACAGCCTCCCTGGGCAGCCTGTGCCAGGGCTCCGTCACCCTCAGAGGGAAGAAGTTCTTCCTCATGTTCAGACTCCTTTGTACAGACCACGTCTGCTTTACCAGGGACTCTGCGCTCGAAGTGGAGCTACCAGACCGCTGAAAAGTGAACGTCCAGCCCCGAAGGCACCGAAAGCTGGGCGACTGCTGAAGCCTGAAGTTAATAAAAATGGCGGGTGGCTCAAACCGGGAGAATGTAATAATTTCCTATTCCAGGAGTCTGTAGTCCCTCTCTGCTAAGCAGGGTGCTGGCTCTGTGGGATCTGCACCCACATCTGCACAAACACGCCACCACGGCAGCACCTCTGCCCTGTGTGTATCATGGGGGACCGCACACGAGTAAACGAGCCAGCTTTTGGGACAACAGTAACGGCCGGGACTGCGGGCATCGAGCCGCAGCCTGCCGCACGCCCCCCCCTCCTCT